ATTTATGATTATTAAGATTATCTGCATAATGAAAATGAGTAATGTCTGATGAGTGGACGGGGCCACTCCCTTGTTTACATCATTTATAGATTCGTCTAGTATAAATTGCTTTAAACCTCACCAATTTACTTGTCATTGTTACTTCACCACCAACGCATGGTTCTGAGTCTTTTTTGGATTGCTTCTTCATCGACTTATGGTAGTGTCTTTATATTCTAGGAACTCCGTACACCCAGCAGTCCTACAAGTAAGTGAATCATTTCCTTTCAAATGGATCAATAAGAAGTGGAAAGAAGGATTCCATGTTACCTCCATGACCACTGCTGGCAGTCGATGGGGTGTTGTTATGTCCAGGAATGCAGGGTATTCTGATCAGGTGTCTAATCGTATTTAACTTCAATTTTCGGCCAATGCACGAGTCATTTTCAATTTAGTGAACCTATGGATAGAACATACTTGATGACATTTTATTGCCCTGCTTTCCAATTAATGATGCAAGGTTGTGGAGCTTGACTACTTGTACCCAAGTGAAGGTATTCATCGGCGATGGGAGAATGGTTTCCGGATAACATCTATGGCTGCTACTGCTGATCAGGCAGCCTTCATTCTTAGCATACCAAAACGCAAATTGCTCGATGAAACTCAAGAGACTCTGCGTACCTCTGCCTTCCCTAGCACCCATGTGAAGGTATTTACAATTTTACCATCCTTTTGATGGATTAGGTGGTGGGTTTATAATTAAACTCTTCTGACACGCAACTGTTCTAGTGGGTGATAATATTTTTTTCCGTCCTGAATCCCCTTGTTTTTCAATTGATAACATTATCATAATTGAGGTTCTGGTGACTGGTGTTTAGTTTGTGGGTAAAATATCAGTCCAACCTCAAGAAGGATATGCAAAGTAAATACCCAAAACAGCAGCTGCTTCCATTGCCTGCTCGAAGATTTTCCCTTAACCAAGTTCAAGCTAAAGGAAAGCATTAACTGTTGTTGTGTTGGATTTTGCAGGAAAAATGGACCAAGAATCTCTATATAGCCTCAATATGTTACGGGCGGACTGTTTGTTAGCTGCCAGGGTGTGTACTTGGCATGTAAATGACAAATGAGTCAAAATTGAGATGAGAGGGTTTCGATGATTGTGAATTGGAATGGTGAAGGAAAGCTCCTGGTCTCCCATGTAAAATTCTGGCAAGTGTAAAATAGGAACGAAGAGAACGGGGACAAGAGTGAGAGGAGAGAGCTGGTATACCCCCAACCAAGCCCAGCCAGTAGGAGAATAATTTTGAGTTTATTTTTCATTTGATAGGAGGCATGGCCATTTTGTCAATGTTTTTCACTTCACACATGCGCTCCAAACAATTTGCGAATATGTCTGTAGTGCTTTCAAATCTTCCAAAGAGCTGCACGAGCCACGAGCCCAGAATTTAATTAATTGATGTTATATGACCTGTCTGAATTTGGAACAGTAGTAATAGGGTAAAATCTTGATTCTCGGATATGGAGATATCAAATGGCATGTATTAAGCTGGTACGGCCGGGATATGGTGATTTTGTTTTGGGCTTCTGGCAGGCAGACAGTATTTGTTATGCCACCTCCTTTTGTTAGTATAAAAAGTAACAAATGTGAGTTTCATCAAAATGTGTGAGTTGATTTTTCTTAATTATTTTTTCAACTATGAGCATGGAAACTAATCTAAACTACTCTAGAGAAGATTTTTTATAATCAATAAGAAATATTTTTTAAAAAATATTATAAATTTAAAAGACAGTGAATTAAGGTGTTGTGTTTAAAACTAAATTTAATTTTTAATTAGTTTTTATACTCAGGAGAAATGAGAAGTTTACTCTCAGCACTGAGAGGATTTTTTTAATAGAATGATCATAGGTTTTGCCCACCACAAAAACGAAAAGAGCAGATGTTTTTGTATTGTACAATACTATTTCCGGTCCTTAATATAAGATCTTATTTGATTTTTATTTTGGTTCTAAATATAAGATCCCAATCTATTTTATCTCACATATTTATGTATTTTTTTAAAGATAGTTTTTCTAATAATAATAATTCTAACTAATATACTTAATTAGTAAAGATATTTTAAGAAAGATAATACCTATTTATTATAAAGAACTAACTTAACTTGTTTTTTAATCTATTTAAATTGGTCAACTAGCTTCTATATTTAAAACCGGAGGTAGCATATAAGAAATGGCTCGTGAATAATTCATCACGTGAAAAACAAATATCTATCTTGATGATTAGACCTGACAACAAATATTTTAAAATATGAAAGATCTATTAAATTGATTAATACACTGATCAACGCCTAGTTAAATGTTCTTACAACCAAACAAATAATTTTAAATTACAAATTTAAAAAAAATTGTAAATGTATTTACAGTTTACACTTCTTGCAACCAAAAATGGCAGGAGAGGTGGATAAACAAAGCAAAATTATGGCTGCATTGAGCGGGGGTAGTCCTCCGGACGGCTGACATCCGGTTGTTAAAGAGCCAGTGTAGGGTTTTATTATAGTCCCAATAGGAAGAGATAAAGCCAGAGGGGGGGGTCCAATTCTAATAGCAGCCCAGGCTCAATTCAGGTCAATCATTGGGTCCAATTTGAGCATAACCCAACTCTGATTTGAGGACTATCCTTAAACCCTAAACACCGCAAGGGCGTCGAAGTATACCTATAAACGTTGCCTCGCCAGTCGCCAGCCAGCCATCGTTGGTGAAGAAGGCGGGTGTCACATTGCTGAACACTAACAATGAGGCCCCCGAGAGGCGGTCGCGGCGGAGGATTTAGAGGGGGTCGTGACGGTGGCCGTGGGAGAGGTGGTCGTTTTGGTGGTGGCAGGGGCGGCGGTGGCTTCCGCGACGAAGGCCCACCTACTGAAGTCGTAGGTTTGTTGCCTTTTCATTCAGGAGCTGGGAGGTTTTTATGTTTATACCTTCCCCCTCTCGCTTTTGGGTTTTCAACCTAAGTCTTGTAAGACTGAAAAAAATGTCACTCGCTCTTCATGCGCTTGATGGCTTAATTTTTTTGTTTCGGAGTGTGATGGTGCAATAAACGAATACGTTGTTTTCAAGATTCAGTTGGAAAATGGAAACAGCAATTTTCTGGGTTAACGATTCAAATGTTTATGTCTGGCTTGTAGGGGAAAGTTCTTCAGTGTCCTGCGTTTTGTTATCTCAAATTTTACGTCATTTCTTTATTGCCTTTTCTGTTTTTATTTAGAACAAATGATTGATATGCATATTGAAGATGCTCCTTGACGTGTGCAGAGGTCTCAACCTTTATGCATGCATGTGAAGGAGATGCGGTCACAAAACTTACAAATGAGAAAATTCCTTACTTCAATGCCCTATATATCTGAAGAACATGACTCAAATTGGTAAAGTTGATGAAATATTTGGCCCCATTAATGAATCTGTGAGTTCTCATTTGTATTCCAGTTGGTCGATACCTTCTGATTTTGTCTTATATAGAAGCTGGCTGTGATTTTCCTTTTCAATTGCACAATTGCAGTACTTTTCAGTTAAAATGATGGAAGGAATTGTTGCTACTTCTTACTCAGCTGGTGATAAGTTTTATATTGACCCGAGGAAACTGTTGCCTCTTGCGAGATTTCTTCCACAACCAAAGTATGTTCTCTACACACCTCACCGCTTAAAAATAGCATGTCAATGTGGGCAATTTATGGTGACGTGATCTTCAATTTTAAATAATTGTTCAAGCATGCAAATCTGAGTTATGTTGTATTATTTGTTCAAGTATGTCTTATTTCGACAATACCATTTGGTGTCATTTATTCAATAGCCATACATACATTTGCTGATGTCTTACGGTGAAATTTTGTCTGGTAACCACGTGATGGGATATAAGCCTATACCAAGCGGCATCTTTTCTCTTCTTGATCTGTAAGGGATTTATTTCAGCCCAGAGATTTATGTGGAGAATGGAGATAGAGTTGGGTTGATCCGTGCCGCTTAATATTCCTTTTTGATTTATCTATCTTTTATTCCTGGCTCTAGCTGTTGGTTTTTTTGGGAAAACACTCATCTGAATATTCATTTAAGCCAAAAGAAACCTGTAGGCTATGTTGAGACGATCAAGTTGTTCTTTTACATTTCCACTTATGTAGCCCTTATCAGAAGTTCCATCAAGTGCTTCATACTATTCATTAAGTGTATTTACTTCTGTGAAATCTCTTCATCCTGCCATACGATATAGTTTGCCCCATTGTTTATATATATTGATCTGGTGTGGGGATGCTGGGATTGATCCTCAGCACATTTTTTGTCTCTAGAGGTTGTAAAGCTGTTAAGGTCATCAAGTAAACATGATTGCCTGGTTTTTTTGTCGCAGGGGACAGCCACAAGCTGCTAGAGGAGTGGAGGCGGAGGCGGAGGCAGAGGTGGTGTGGAGGAGGCGCGGAAGAGGTGGCCCAAGGGGTGGGAGAGGTGGTCCCCCAAGGGGCGGTGGCCGCGGTGGTTTCAGGGGGAGGGGGAGATGATAGGATCATTTTGTGTAACGGTTTCATGGTACTTCAGTCATTTTACCTTGGAGATAACATAGGACGCCTAATCGAAAAGATATTTGATGCCTGTGGATTGAGTGATTCCATCGCATGCTTCTTTAATTATATTGATTCCAAATTTCAAGTTTATTATGCAGGAAATCTCTGAATTACAAAAGATTGTGATAAATTGCGAACTGTTATTGCAAAGGATGAAGAAACAACTCCATTTTTTTTAGTACGTCAATAACTTAGTTCTAGAAACGCTTTAATTAATTCTTTGAATATAAATTATCTTTCCTTTGTTTGTAGAATCGGTTTTCTTAAAAATTAAAGTAGTCCTTTGCTAAAGCTCTGAATCTCGTGACAAAATGTGGTCGTGTGATACAAGCGAGAATGTGTAACTGTCAAGATGATAATATGCCTTTAATTTCTCTAAAAATGATGAGTGGAAGTGTTCATGGAACAATGTAATGGTCAAAATTAATTTGTAAAAATCGATCCCCTGGGCAACTATAGATCTTTGGTTTAGCATTTCGACGAGCTCTTAGAGCTTCATTAGTTGCGCTGCCAATTCCGCTAAACAAGTCGAATTCTGCACAAATGATACTAGTTCTGGTCTTTAATATAAGATCCTGTTTGATTTTTATTTTGGTTCTAAATATAATACTACAATCCACTCTGTCTTTCATATTTATTTAATTTTTTTAAGATAGTCCTTCTAATAATTATAGTTTTAGTTAATACACTTGATTAGCAAGGATATTTTAAGAAAAACAACATTCTTTTAGAACAAATAACTAACTCAACTTACTTCCTTAATTTTATCAAATTAGTCAACTGGCTCTTATAATTAGGATCGGAGGTAGTATAGATTATTCTGAATGAAGCAAAAAAGAAAAAAACTAGAATACTAAATTGAAGATTCTAGTTTGTAGAAAAAATTTTTATGGTCGTTATTTTATTACGGTTTTTTTTTTTTTTTTAGGTTTGGACTGACCTCAGTAGGAGAATCCTGACTCCTGATCAACTCTGGCTCAAACCTGGTCTTCAGACGGGGATGCAATTGAATGTACGATAGCAAAGCGACCAATTATTTGAAGAGGGATTAGTATATATTACTCTTTAATGTGATCTAAATAAAATTTTTCAAAAATTAAAAATTAGTAAAATTAATTTTAAAATAAAATCCATATATCAGTTCATATTTAGAATCAAAAGCAAACTCCTAGCTAATTCTTACCTTTCTAAACTAGAAATATTATTAAATACTCTTCCGGTTTTAATAAAATTTGATTAGATTAATAAAGTTAGATAAGTTAATTAATTATAAAAATATGATACTCCTCCGGTTTATTATAAAATTTGACTTATTTGGTCCTAATGTAAGACCCAATCCTTTTCTCTATATATATGCATTTTTTCCAAGATAATCCTTCTATAATATAGTTTTAGCCAATATACTTAATTAGCAAGGATATTTTGAATAACAAAACTTATTTATATAAATCCAATTAATACTTCCTTAATCTCCTCAATAAGTCGGTCTTATAATTAGGACGAGGAGTATCTAAAACACCATAATCATCTTCTTAATATCCTCTCCTTTCTTACTTGATTATAATTGAGGAGTATCATATTGTTTTATATTTACAATCAATATTACACTCAACAATTAAGTTTATATTAAAACTAGAGAAGGATAATATTCATATTTTTGTGTGGAACAAAAAGAGGCAGGTTAGAAGTAGATGGCGGAGTCAAAGTAGAAACACGGAACAAATCAGCAAAGCAGAGCCTGAGGTGTTCAATGGCTTCCTTTGTTCCATTTCCATCCATCCTAACTCATCATCCTCCTACCCAGCAAAATCTGCTGACTTGGTCCGGGGAAGGCACCATAATAAATTAAATATTTTTGTTCCATGTCTGATTTTACGCTCCTCTTTTCCCCAAGATAATCTCCATTGGTATGATGTGGTATATGTATATTAAAGAATATAAAATTACTCTGTGAACTATCCATTTCCACGAGTTCAAAGTGTGCATCACAGGCGAGAAGTTAGAATTAGTAAGAAGGAGTGGAGGTCGGGAAAGTCATATAGAAGCCTTCGATGAAATGGTAAAACTCATTTATGCCTATGACACGCTTTTGCCTCTCTTCTCGACCATATATGTAAGTTATACATAACTGCTTCTCCAAGCAATCGCAATCCAACCTTCTCCCTCAATCTCTCGTTTCGCTGTTAAAACAGAGATAAGCTCCCACTCTCGGGTCATATTCTTGCTTCTTTCGCATCCCCAAGTATGTGCCCTCTCAGGTTCATGTTGGTTTTCTTCTCCGCTTTACTAGCCGGATACCTCGCCTGGACGACTCTGCGTTTCTCCTCCGAACTCGAGACTTCTTCCTCCGGCGATCAGTCTCCCTCCAAAACCAAACATCTTAATTTCAGAAAGGTAGGGCCACTCTTCAATTCTATCTGGAGCTAACTTCCCCCCCCCCCGTTATGAAACGGATCAGTGCCCTAAATCGTGTGAGGCGAATGTTTCAGATGATTGGAAACGGACTCTGGGTATTGGTGGACATGGCCAGCGGGAAGTATCTGTGGAGGAATTTGAGGTCCCTCAACAAAGATATCCAAGTCAATGACTCTTAGGAGCTCATCAAGACTTCTTATTCTTGTTCCCATTGTTTGTGTCCAAGTAAATTCTCTTGATATTTCCCCCCTTTGATATGGATGTAGAATAACTTCCATTCATTTTGATTTTTACATGTGGCTCGTATCTGGATTTCTCCCCGAATGGTCAATTCCATCGATATGGCTGAAGACCAAAACAGAACATTTATTTCTTCTTTTTTTTTTTGTGCGAATTTCTTGGGTCAAAGAATTTCTTAATTTCGAGATTTGAGCACAAAACAATGGTGCACGACAATATATGAAAGATATACAGGTAAGACCGTCGCCTTCCTCGATTTGGTCTCATGTTTTTAATCAATGTTCCGTAATTAAATTATTAAATTCTTATAATATCACTTGATTTTTAAGTAGGTCAAAAAAATTATCAAAAATCAGATAAAATTTTTAAGACCTTGTGAAGAAATTATCTAATTAAAAATAGATGAAATTATAAGAAATAAAAATTACAAAAAGCTGATTATAAATAAGATGGAAGGACCTACGGATTAAATACAGTTTCACTTTCACGGCTATATATACGAGAGGTAAGAATTTTGGCATGGTTCTAATACAAAGGACATGGAATAGAACGCCCACGTTCCCATATATAACCGTAGCTTCTGTTTAACGCGGGAAGAAAACAAGAAAGGGCGCGTCCACATTCGTTCATTCATTTCACCTAAACGGCAAATCAGAGTCCTTTGAAAGAGGGATTACCTAAAAAAAATCTGAGATTGTAATGCGTCACTTCCTCCGCCTTTGTCTTCGCCTTTCCCTTCCCTCTGGCCCGCAGCGTTTTCGACTTGCGTACTTAAACTTCGTTTCCTAAATCTCTGATCAATTTCGCACGCAATCTACTTCGGCTCTCAGCCACTATTTTTTTTTTTCTCCAGGTATTCAGTCCCATTCTCTTCATATGCTGGTTTTGAACTCGATTTTGCTTGATGGTTTGAGTTTCAATGTTTTGTTCTTTGTTTTATTTGGGATACGGAGGTTGATAGAAGTTGCATTTCCTTCTATTGTTCATTTTGAACCTTCGTGATCATGCCTTGGGTATAATGACGCTATGGGTTGATGCTTGTTACTTGGTCGATTAATTATGTCGACCAGTTCATTTTCGATAATTCGATTTGTCGTATCTTGTTACCTTTTCGGCCTTTTGTGAGGCTGGAAAGAGAGAATATTCTTCTCAATGTAACCGCATGTAGATATCAGGCAGGCCGGAATCCTGTGTGATGTTGAGAACTGTGAGTCCGTCTCTACAATTGGTAAGCGGAAAGAGGGGCGGAGTTTCGCATTGTAAGGACTGCGGGGACACAGACCCTTGGAGAATTATAAATGATATTTGATTCTATGAGGGATGTGTGAAGTGGAGATTCCGAGCTTTCACCTGCGTAGATTGTTTACAATATGTTGACTGACAAAATACTTCCGCTCACATCCTAGTGTTTTGTTAAAAAAGGGATAATATTAATATAAAACATAGCAGCACTCTCACTTTCTTCATTTTCGTTGTGGAAGGGGGAAAAAAAAAAAATACTGCGTTACTGCTCACAGTTTTGCGTTTTTATTTAGCTTTTATTACAGCAGCTCTGTTCGAGTAGTATGTTTTGAATATTAGTATTTGTTGGGTTGCAATTAATGGTTCATATTTATAAACAGGGCTAGCGGAACTGTTTACGATGTCAACTTTGGGCAATTCAAATAATATATTTTGGCAAGAATGTCAAGTAGAAAAGCTTGACAGGCAGAAGCTACTAAACCAAAAAGGATGTGTTGTGTGGATTACGGGTCTCAGTGGATCAGGTTTATATTGTTAGCCTAACTTGATTATTGCTTGAATTTTTTTTTTAATACCGGATCTTGTTTATGTTGATTTTGAACAGCAAGCATACTGTATACTACATTTTCTATGCTTCTCCCTTTGTAGGCCGCCATCGGAAGCATTTACTGACATGTGATGTTCATGATTTTCATCAGTTTCTTCTTGCTTCATAAAATTGAGATCGCCTTTTTTTTTTTTTTCTCCTTCTTAACCACAGGCCTTGGTCATTCTGTAACTGTCACGCAACAATTATTTAATCCTAGGCCATCATTGTCGTACTGATTTCTCCCCCCCCCCCCACCCCAAAAAAAAAAAACCTAAAATTATACAGGAAAAAGCACATTAGCCTGCTCGTTAAGCAGAGAACTTCACTCAAGGGGAAAGTTGTCTTATGTCCTTGATGGAGATAACCTTCGGCATGGATTAAACAAAGATCTTGGTTTTAAACCAGAAGAACGTGCTGAAAATATACGCAGAACTGGTAAGCTTGCTTATATAAATTTTCTGAGGAAATGAGGTGGCTTGGGTTTGATGATCAATTTGAATGGGTTTTTTCATTCATTATGTTTCAGGAGCAGATATAAGAGTGATTTCAATGTTTTTAAAATGATTGATACGTATCAAATTTCCCTTTAGTTATCAAACCAGACTTTTTAGTTGCTATATACTTTCCTACTTGGTTTTTCTGATGAGCAAATTATCCAATTCAGGAGAAGTAGCAAAGCTCTTTGCTGATGCTGGTTTAATATGTGTTGCCAGTCTGATATCTCCATATAGAAAAGATCGTGACATGTGTCGTGCCATGATGACTGATTCTAATTTTATTGAGGCATGGCTCAGGAAGAAATCTCTCCTTGGAACAACTTATCTTTTTGCTGATAACTTGTTTTGCTTGTTTGATATTTGATGGTGGATTCTCCTTTTACCCACATATGCAGGTCTTCATGAACATGCCTCTAGAACTGTGTGAGGAGCGAGATCCAAAAGGACTTTATAAGCTTGCTCGTGCTGGAAAGATCAAAGGTGTGTGTTCCTAATCTATTTTTATGCGCTTTACATGCAGCTTTCCACTGTCCCCACCCCACTGAAATAAGAAAATACGCAGCCGGGAGGGTGTTTGGGAGAGGAAAGCAGTTTAAATTAAGGAAAGGAAGCTCTCGCCTCCCCCTGGAATATGAAATTTGTTCTGCACTGTCTGCTGTGGTTTAATATGAGGAATAAAAAAGTCAGCATATAAAGTTAATTAGCTTATATATTTTAAAATTTTGATGGTCGCAATATGTCATGCCGGCACATAATTTTCTCATAAGTGAGGGAAGAAACTTTCAGTTTATTGCCTTAGCTTCTGAACTCAACTGCGTTGCTTTTTATTTTCGTAGGCTTTACTGGTATTGATGATCCTTATGAACCGCCCGAAAACTGTGAGGTACTTATTCATGGAGCCCTCTAAGATTCCTATACCAGTATATAATGTGTTTCTTCTATTTGTATGCTGACGTTAGTCTTCCCATTTTTCAGATAGAAATAAAACAGATAGATGGAGTTTGCCCACTACCTACTGCCATGGCTGGACAAGTAGTTTCTTATTTGGAAGGGAAAGGATTTCTTGCATCCTAGGAACTTGATAGCCTTCATCTCTTGGATGATCCTCCGCAATATAAGTATGCTTTTTCAGTTATATGTGATGTGGGATAAAGAAAGGAGGCTTTTAATGTTTTAATAACTACAAAGTCTTGAGTGGATAAACATATGATTTTAACTTAGCTTGTGATTGTGTTCTTTGCACCCCTGATCTTTCCTTCTGATTGTGATTGCGACTACTCTATTTTTACAAGCTGACAGTTTCGAATATATTTTGCACTTGAAGGTTAGATTCAGAATCTGCTTAGCACGTGCTTGCCATGGCCAGTCTCACGCTGAAGCTTCTGACAGATGAATAAGCCATATGGGCCCGGCCCTATAAGTTGTTTATTTTTGTAAGCAGACAAACTCGAATGTATATTTGTATCATTTTTCTTAAGAATTGTTTGGGAATTGGGATTACCTATATTTTAGTACCCCACAAGCCTTTACTATTACTTCCAGTCCTTAATATAAAATCCTGTTTGATTTTTATTTTGGTTTTAAATATAAGACCCCAATCCATTTTGTCTCTCATATTTACTCAATTTTTTCCAAGATAGTTTTTCTAATAATTATAGTTTTAGTCAATACACTTGATTAGCAAGGATATTTTAGGAAAGATAACACCTATTTAGGACAAATAACTAACTCAATTTATTTTTTTAATCTTTTCAAATTAGTCAACTGGTTCTTATAATTAGGACCGGAGGTAGCATTTACATATGAATGACGATAAGTTTATTTGAAATGAATTAAGCTAACAAGTCAATATCAAAACTGAATTTATTTTTTGTAATCAAATAAGACAATTTTAATAAAGTATATCCTAAAGGATCGAAAGGGATTTTTTTTTTTTGGGGGGGGGGAGGGGGAGGAAAGCCTAGTAATCATTATATAGCAATTGGACGAAACATCCAAAACATTGGCAATCTCCTGATCAAGCATGGGATGATGGGATCCACCTGCCCCCATGAGACGGTAAGAGTCGTATTTATCATTTTCTGATAACAGGCTAAACAATACGGTCCCAACATATAATTGTAAATAAGTAGTTGGCCCAAAAAATCTAAATAAATGACTAAAGTTCAACCAAAAAAATAGTAGTAATAATAATAATAATAAAAATAATAATAATTGACCGAAGAACACTGAATAAATAATTAAATATTATTGTCCCAGCAACGCAAATGCGGATCCGTTGGGTTGATTGAGCTAATCGGATTTCAGAAACGACGCGTTCCGACGAAGGCCAGGAGGTTGGTGAGAGCAGAGGAAAGAGATGGTGTTGAGTACTGGAGCGGCGGTGAGGGTGGCCCAAGTCTCAGCCAATCTCTGTCAATACATATCCTGCAATCCCGAGCGGTTGAGCAGCGACACCGTGTTGCGCCTCCTCTTCTGCCTCCCTTTCCGCCGTTTGGCCCTTTCTCTTTCCACTTACCTTGGTTTTACCGCCTTTCCCCCTTCTGCCGCTGACAACGCCTATTTCCACTCCGATTGATTTCTCTTCCCTCTCTCTCCCTTAATCGATCCATGAATGAACGCTATGCCACTGTGTATTTCAGATCTATTTCTTTGACGTCTCTGTATGCGTGGATCGCCTAACTATTGCACTGAATCGAGCATGCGGCTTCTTGTGATGGGTACGATGCTTTTAGATTACGAGTCCAGTAAGTATCGTTCGTATAAATTACGGTCGCACCTCTTTAGATTTAATAGCTGATCGTTTCCCATCATATGTTGTAATTAGGGTAATGTACCGCACACCCAAAAGGGAGCATTGGATGAAACTATACAACAAATGAAACTTGGATCTAAATTCACCAAATAAATATGATGGAATTTTCCAGCTTCTTTTCTTTATACAGCTTCCCTGCCTGGTATTGTTTCTTTTGTGTTTTGCACTTCCTGGCTCTGTAACATGATCACAGGATCAAACAAGCTGTACAAGAAACAATATATACATCACCAAAACAGGTCCAAAGTAATATTTTGTATTCTTGCCTTCCGCTAATGACTTGTTCTCTTAAAACTCTATGTCTTAAAAGCTTGTTATCACATTGATTTTGACATGGTAGTTTTCTCTGTGTTCTCCACATTTTGTTAACTTGATGGGCCTGTTTTCTTTTTGCTTTTTTCCCCCTTCGAGTTTTTGCTATAGATTGGTCAGGGGAAACACAGTCTAATATCAAGTTCTTATCTCATATACAGGCAGAGTTTGCAGTAATTTATTACCGCCTCTTGTATTTAATACTACCTCCGGTCCTCTAATTGATTTTTATTTTATCTTAAATATAAGATATCAATTTATTTTGTCTCTTATATTTATATATATTTTTTAAAGTAACCTTTCTAACAATGATAGTTCTAGTCAATATACTTGACTAGCAAAGATATTTTAAGAAAGACAATACCTATTTAGGACAAATAACTAACTCAACTTACTTCCTTACTCTCCTTAAATTAGTCAGCTGGCTCTTATAATTAAACCGGAGGTGGTATTTAATAAAAAAGCTATTTTGATATTAAATCTCATTATGAATATAGGATTCTAATTCACTATATATTTTATGTTTATCTATTTTTTTTAAAGTTTGTCTTTATAATAGTTATATATGTTAGATATTTCAGATTAGGATTTAGGAGGAATATTTTGAGAAAGACAATATCTATTTATTACAAATAATCAACTTAATTAATATTTTTAACATATTTAAAATAAGTTTTATATTTAGTATCGGACGACTAATAAATACGTGCGATATGCTTATGGCGACCAGTTCTTTATTTCACGATTGTGCTCTTTTTAATGTTTGAAAAAAGAAAAAAACCAAAAGGTCGCGCAATTTTTATTTTCTTCCCATGCAAAACGGGGAATGACGAATGAGCGGTAAATGACATGGGAGGGCAATTTACTTAATTTTTACTGACATTAAACTTGTAAAGCAGCTACTGGGTGTAAGACAAAATGGAAGCAATTGTTTATTGTCAGCTTGTCCCTTTTACTGTAACCGAATTGGCTTTATGACCTGTTTGGCAAATCTTTAAAACTATGATTTGGATCCCAAATCTGCCAAACAGAGGGAAAAATAAAAAAATAACAGTTTTGGACTTAAAATCATTATTTCAAAATAAATGAATCTATTCTGTTTTAGGCTCAAATTAGAGAGTATAATTGTACCTGTTAGAATAAATCTCACTAGTAATATGATTTTAATATCCTTCAATTATTTTTCTGTAAACATATTTAATCTTATATTTTATAAATATATATATACACATATTAATTATTTATTAATTACATTATCTTATATATTATTATTATGTTAATAAAAAATATATTATTAACAATTTTATTTATTCAAATTGAAATATATTATAAAATCTATCTTTTATCTAATTATCATATTAACTTATATCATTTTTAGTAATTTGTACATATAAAAAGTATTTCTGATAATAAATATCCAAACACTCTCACTTTATCAGAATCAATTTTTCACAAAATCTATTTTCTAAAAGCTATTATTCAAACTATGGTTTGGTTTCATCCAAACACCTCCTAAAGTCTAATTTATAAGGTGTAATTTTTTTTATTTAAGAGGTATTTAGGTAGAAACTAAATTATAATTTTAAAAATAATTTTACGATACATAAAATAAATATATGAAAAAAGTTTTATTTCAATTTATGTGAAATTTTTTTAAAAAATATTTTTACTTAATACCAAACGCCCCTTAAAATAAAAATAGAACAAACATAAGATGAAAGTAGCACGCTCATCTGTTTCAAAAAAATTGTTATATTATTTTTATGCTAAAAATAAAAACATCATTAAAAATATCGATAACTAAAATAAATCTAAAAACCAAAAGTTCCATTATTTTTTTAAAAAAATAAATATATAAGCAACATCAATTACAAGATTATAGTGAATATGTGAGGGGGCTAGTAAAAGAAGAAGAAGAAGAAGAAGAAGAAGAAGAATATGTGAGGAGGAAAAAAGGTAATGGAAGTATTGGAATGAATCCGACAAAAACGGGGAAGAGAAAAAAAAATCAAAACCCGTGGGGTCTAACCGTCAAAGCGGTGCCCCTTAGTACTCAGCGGCACTTCCTTTGGCACAGGATTAAAAATTTTTGGAAGAAGGGAGGGACTGGTGCGAGGCTGGTGGCAGTTGAAGTGCGACACGCGAGAGATGAAGACGTTGGTGACGCCATTAAGGACCTCCCCGTTTTCTCGCTTAAATGGCCATAATGTCCTTCTACTCCCTCTCTCTTCAATCTCACGCTACTCTTCCTTACCAAATTCGTTGACGTTCTCCTCTCGCCCACCTCGCTCTTTTTCCATGGCCGCGTCATCGCAATCCACATCTCCGGTACCTGCTTCTTGTCTAATCTCTCTCTCTTTCCGCGAAATTTATTAGCCTCTAAGTAGCAAAGCTCTGCAGTTTGGCTTTGAATTCAATTTACTTGGCTCCCGTGAAGCTTATTGATAGAATATGAGTGGAAGATTAATAGATTGTGCAGTGTCAGATGTTCTCCGCCAGTTTGCTTGTTCATCGCCTTTTTTTTTTTTTTTTTGCGTAATTCTGAATCTATTAATAATTGCTTTCATGCAACACCAAAATGGTTTTGTTCATATGAAGCTATTATGGTGTGATGGCCATAGCCGATACAGTGTTATGCTGATATTGATTTCTTAATTAGACTGTGTCGCCAGGAGATGTTAACATCGACAAAGACAAGGTTTTCCAATTGATTCAAGCTCATCAGGTATTATATTGCATCTGCTACATGCTTATTTCTACATGTGATCGTCAAAGTAGTTAGAATCCATTGTAAGCGGCATCTTTGTGCAGATGGCATTATGATCAATTGAGGAAGCATATTTAGGCAGGTTGTTTTCTGTTTATTACAGGAGAAAGCTGCTCGACTTCCACCAGTTGAAGAAATTCGTACTATGCTTGATCGAAGTGTACGGGGGATGCTTTCTACATTTTCTCAGGTTTCTGAGCTTTCCATCTAACTGTCATGAACTCGAACGGTGTTGACGTTGATGGTGGTGGTGTTTTTTTTTTTTTTTTCGTTTTTTGTAAATTGAATAACTATCAAATCTGCCTTTAAATTTAATCAGACAGTGCGGTGTCTTGAAGAGATAAAACCCTCATAAAACTATCTTCTTTGGTCTTCAATTGCCCCGTGTTTTATCTTGTTAGCGGATAACTATTTTATTTACAGATGAAGTAAAATATATATTTTTGGGATGTAAAATAGAGTTTGTTAACAAACTAATGCAGTGAGAGGAGCACTTCGAGAAAATTTTCTAAAATGATCTTTTAATACAAATGCAATCAAATCTGGCAACTTCTGATGTTCATAACTTTAGTATAATAATTGATTAGTTTTTATTGGCAGAAAACTTCAATATCATCTTCTAATCTGGTTTTCGTTTGACCTTTTTTGTGCAGAAGCATGAGGGTTATCCATCAGGGTCTATGGTTGACTATGCATGTGGTGCAGATGGATCTCCTATACTAGCAGTGAGCAACCTAGCAGTTCATGCAAAGGTTTTCTTTTCTTTTCTCTATTTTTCCTCCACATTGTTTTGTTTTTGCTGGAAAATAATGCTGATGAAATAGTTTAGAATACAATTTGTGTAGGATTGTGAAATGCATTGACTTACCAGAGGAGTGAAATTTAACGCTAAGCAAACGGCTTAGCTGCTGCAAGGCTCCAGATAAAGTCATAATGATTAATTGTATTAGGTTTGACCAAAATTCTGATCTTTGCAAGACTTACAGTTCGTCAGATTTTTTTTTTTTTTTTTTTTGAGTCCTCTTTATGAGTTTTGGAGAGTAGAAACAAAACCAGCCATTGAAAAGGATTACTTCCATTGATATGAGTATTTCTTTCTACATTTCACAGGACTTAATTGCAAATCCAGATAAAGAAATAATGATTAATTGTATATGTGCTTGTGTTAATCTATCATGGGTTTCACCAAATTCAACTCTCTGCAGAACTCATAATTCATCAAAAAAATTTTTTTTTTGAGTCCTCTTTGTGAGTTTTAGAAACCATATAAACAAAATCAACCATTCAAAGGGCTTACTTACATTGATATGAGTATTTCTTTCTACGTTTTGCAGGACTTAATTGCGAATCCCAAATGTTCATTGCTTGTGGCGAGAGATCCTGAAGATAGGACTGATTTAGCAATAACTTTACATGGCGATGCTTTTGCTGTAAGTTGTGATATTTTTGCTCATTTTCCAGTCACATCTTGTATGCCGATGGTCCCCCCTCCCCTTTCTTTCTTTCTATTACCCTCATCTATGTGAACTTAGGCTATATGATTGCAATATTATTGTATCATAGTTATATGGAACTATCGCTAATACGTTTCTTGATATCTAATCAGGTTCCTGAAAAGGAGAAAGCAGCCGTTCGAGCTGCATATTTGGCAAGACATCCCAATGCATTTTGGGTAACTCTATCCTTTCATGTTTCATATACTTCTTCTCCTATTTACTTATGTATGTCCAGTATCACAATTAAATAAAATCTGCATATTGAAGGTTGACTTTGGGGACTTCTACTTTCTGCGCATTGAACCTAAAGTGATACGTTTTGTGTCTGGGGTTGCAACAGCTTTATTAGGATCTGGAGGTTCGTTAGCCACGCATCTCTTTTCTTGTTGGTTTGCCTTTCTATTGATGTCGTCATGTGAGGCTGCTTTGGGCTGTGTTTTCTTTAAATGATAGAGTGATATATGTTTAATGTTGGGTATGTGCTGTTTAAATTTATCATCAACAAGTGTCTTTGTGAATTATGCGGATTGCCATCGTGTGGATGGTGATACCTATATTTAGGAGCTTGAGAATGCTCTCTCTTAATTTGGTGGCTTTGCGTGAAAACGGGAGAGGAAAAGAGACTTATCTGGTTATTGTGAGGAATGTGCCTTTTCTTTTATTTCGTTTGACATTTGGAGTTGACATGTTATTTCAGGTACATTATACTAATTTATGATGTTATTCCGAATTCGTTTCACTTTTCAGAGTT